GGGGGGGGGAGGGGGGAAGAAGACACGATCACTAATTTTTCATCACCGGAAATTTCACAACATTGATTTTTCTTTGAAGACTCAGACTAATTACACGAAGCATGAGTGACTTTAAATATTTTGCTGAAACTCCTAAAAGACCAGAGATCGTGGTTATGGCATTACGCTTATCGTTATACATGTGTTTCTTTTCAAAGTTTTCTCGATCAACATAATTCCCAGACTTGTTGGTGTTAACTAGTCCGAAGAATAAGTGTCCAGTGTCCTAAATGGATGTCGTGTTTATCTACATTCAATTATTCTTTAACGTTTATCCGTTCATTGTAATTTTGCTTACAGCCACTACTCTACTGCCCCACTGAACACATCTCTCCTCTAGGCCCCTCTCCTCCTCGCTCTCGATAGCACTGGCTCTAATGCGCTTAATAAACAAGATCCTCACAGCACTTGCTCATTCATTTGGTGGTGGAATAATTCCCACTTACGATAAAGTGACATTTAAGCAGAACAATAACCACATGGATCTCTTCTTTGATGTTTTTTCTCATCAAATATTCATCTACTTAAAAGAAGTAACTTTTATAGGTTGTCACCCGTAGCTGCTCTCCTTTCACTGTTATTTCTGAGGCAAGTTTCTTAATTGCTGAATTCTATTGAAGCCTCACTACATTATAAGAGGTTCTAGATGGTGTTTTCATGCTACGGGTTTGAATTTCGTACTATCAAATATCTCTGAATTCGCGTGCAAAATGTTAACACGTTCAAAACATTTCCACCACGTCAGCTACAACGATAGCAAGTAATCAAGATATGTGCGTCGATAAACTAGAAAGGAGGTTGATTTGTATCAAGAAAAGGACATCTCTGACAACTGACGGATATGATTTCAGCAGTTTCTTTTCCTAAAAAAGTTAGAGGCAACAGCACCCGCATGATAGCCACGCGAAGTTGCCAGAAGATAAGAGGAACCAATGAGGAGAAGAACACGTCACGTGGACGCGCATGACTCAGGCGTGCATCCGACGTGCAGTGCGTTTGCTGCTTGCTTGTTATCGTCGTTGTTGTCGTCGTCGTCGTCGTCGTTGGGCTGAGTAACCCCAAGAAGATAAGTCCAAGTGCCACAGTCCCGATGAATCAGTGAAGCGATACCAGCTGACGCGTCCTCCCTCCATGGTCTTGTGAGGAGTTTCACAGGAAACCAAATGCATGTGCTCTTATCCTGAATTGCGCACACGACCACTATAATCGACCTTAATTTCGACCGCGTTTACATGACGCAATAAATTAACTACTTATTTATCAAAAGGAATCAGACTATACTTATTGGGCGCCTTTGGCGCAAGTGTGAGGGTTTTTGAAGCAAAATCACCTGATTTTAAAGGAGAGAAACGTAACAAAGAGGTAGGAAATTATCAATGATCTGCAAATCTGTCTGGTTAAGGAAGCCCCTCCTTCCTACAAGCGCACCCTCTACCTCCACCCCCCACCCCCTCCCCATTTCCTCTTACTCTTCCTACAAGGTGAGAATCTGCAAACCTTAAAAGGTGATAAAGATTGAGACATTACTCACGTCCGTTCAATTACATTTGTCCCAACCTCCTTCTATTCCCGATCAGTTTCCCTCTTTAAAGTTGGCATTTTAGAAGAGAAGAAATAAACTGGAAAGGAGGGGCAGGGAGAGCTCCCTGTGCAAATCAACTTGAAGCGTTTAAGTGGTCATTTTTGATGCAGTATTCCTTCTTAAAGATTAGAGGTTAGCTTGCTGAAAGTCGATATTCGTCCGAAATTGCATAAAGCGATGTCTTCACTATTTCACCACCCCCAATCCGTCCCTTTTCAACCAAGAAGAACTGATGTGAAATTGATCTCCCAACCTTTGACAAATCAAAAGTGCACGTAGGCCAGTGAACTGCCAGCAACAATATTTTCAAAGATTAAATGGTGAGTGAAGTAGACGCTAATTGTTATTCATTCGTCTTTCCGAGAGAAAACAGTTACGTCACCTACCTCTTCATATTTAAAACGCAAATTATCACGTTAAGTCCCCCTTCCTTCTTCCTAACAAATTGGTAAAATCAAAAGGTTATTCATGCACAATCGATTTCGCTTGATTGACAGAGCTGTAATTAAAATGGTGAGACACTGGACAGTTATGTGACTCGTCAATTTGCACATACCCCCCGCCCCCCCCCCCTTCAACCCACCTTTCTCCACATCAGATAATTGCCCTCAAGAAGAGAGGCTTGTCTGTTTTTGCAATCATCTCATGCAAATGTTTACATCCAGGCGAGATGGGGGGTGGGGGGTGGGGTGAGGGGGGTTGTAGTGGGTGTGCTTTTGCTAAAACACGCACTAAATCCAGTCACCTCGCTACTCCCCTACCTCCACCCCACACCTCTCCTTCCTCGAAGCGGTTGTTAATTGAAAAGTCGTCATGCTTATAGCCGATGGAATTACTGCAAACTTCATCCCCTCTCCCGACAAGTTTCATGATTGGAAGGGGAAACCATTCATTTTGGTGAATAATGAGGTACATAGCCTGAAGCAATATAAACGTGAATTGTCTTCCCCATGAGAGGAGACGTGAGGTGGTCGGTGAATTAATAAGAAGAAGTAACAAGCTCTCAGTGCCAAGTAATCGGCATTAGACGAACTTACAGATTACGAAGCATTCTTGATGAAACGAAGCACCGCAGTCAGGAGATGAACAGATGGAAGTAGTAGGTTCGGGAAGTGGTCGGAATTCTCGAAAACAGAGACGACACAACCCAGTACCAGCAGCACCACCCGACGTCTCTGCGTCACCATCTTCAGGAGTGGTGGAGTTCGAAACCGTCTGACCCCCTCCACCACCACCCTCAAATCGGCTACTACGTGAGGAAGACGACACACCTTCTGTCTCCGGATCCGTCTCGGGATTCGAATTCGGCTCACCGATGGGACGGAAGGTTGTTGATAGGGCGTGTCTAAAATTAGCACAGCTAGTGAATACTTAAAGTCAAACATTGTCAAGATATATATCGTGGTCAGTTTCCTTAAATGCACTCATTTTAAACTTATTCTTTAAAGATTTTTGGAGGTATGATTCAGTCATCTCGGTGTAGAGGTATAAGTGGCATGACTCATGACGCGCAACCGAAACTATGCCTCTTTTTAAAGCAGAAAGCGAAGAATTGAGAGAGAAAGGGGGGAGGGGAGGGTGGGGGGGGGGGGGGGGGGGAGAG